TTCACAGTCGATATATCTATATTCTGTTCTTTTCTTATTCTACAAGTAGTGGTTCACAAGTAAGCGGAATAAAAACAATATAACTGCCTCCGTGGTCGAACGGCCACCATACTTATCTGCCACGCAGAGGTCCGGGTTCGATCCCCGGGCCGTGAAAAATATTTGAATGGCCTATACATTTATTTCTCTTGTGTCTCGTGTAACTTGTGGTTGTCCTGGCACCCGATACAAGGTTTCCCTAGTGAGGGGCTATGAATATAAACGTCACTAATTATAACTTTTTTACAAAAAAAAAACCGACTCAAAACTTCGTGGAATTACATGTATTTACCCAGTTTTATTGAAAACAGTTACCGGAAAGTGCGCGAAACCATATTCATTCCCAAGTTTGCCACCCTTAGAGGTGAATATTTTTAATCGACTACAAAAAAGGAGGAAGAGGTTCTCAATACGCGATAGCTCGGCATTTGTGAACCGATTTTGATGTTTCTTTTTTGTTGGCAAGATAGGGTACCTCACTATTGGTTTCATTTAAATTTGAAGAAAATATTCGATTTTTCTACTACTCTGTACTGAGATTATTATAGGACTATATTCGACACTGGAAAGGTAAAACGTCTAACGTGCATTTGGAAAACATTTACAGGAGAGCGAATTAAGGTAATTTTGTTAAGAAAAAAATAATCATAACTAATTTTATTTGTTATATGGAAAAGCTAAAACTCTCTAGCTTTCCATATAACAAATAAAATTAGAGTTGTGATTTTTTTGTACAAAAAAAATTACTTTAAATATATTGTCTAAATGCACGTTACACGGTTTACCCTTTCAGCGTCGATATGAACTTTGAATGTTGTATGTTGACACCTTGACTGAGTTATCCGCGGCCTTAGAAATGAAAGTCATAGATACATTCCGCCACAAAGATTTGAACCATCAACCTCGCACTGAAAAGCAATCGTTCTTCCATTGGCGCTACCAGGGACTTGAATACCAGAACCTTACGATAACTCAGTTGTCGACCGATCCGATTTGATATCATATGATTTCTTTTCATTTCTATTCACATCACCCGAATTGAACGTCAAACTGTCGTATCCGAAACCGGACCGAAATGACGTCACACCCGTACGATTACTAGAACTTCTCGACCGGCAAAGGTCACAAACGTTATTCAGAACAGTTATCGAATGAAAGTTATCGAACGTCCTAATGTTTACAAAGCAAGAATGTAATATGGAAATCTCTTATTGTTTTAAATAAAGTCTGGATTTTGTTCAATTTTTTAATGTATTTTAAGGTAAGACTAATGCATTTCTATAATTTAAACCTCTGAAGTCTTGAAAATACTATAATTTCATTTTCATTTTTCTCATAATCTATTTCACCGACTAACTCCGTAAACGCTGTTGGATAACGATATCGTATCCGAATCGAATGTTCTGAATAGCTCGGAAAGCGATATCCAGTCGAACGATTCGGTTAAAATATCGAAGAGTTCTGAATCGGGGTCCTGAGCCCTTACTTACGTTAAAATAATATTACCGCAGTTCCATAATATAACCCTATAAAAAAGCAGAATACTTTATGTATTTATTTTTTATATAATTGATTTTATATAGATGCTTACTTAGACTATCATCACTGGCTCCGAATGAGGTGGGCAGAAACTATGGACGCCCACGTGCTACTCTCCGGACATCTCCTTTTTATTTTCCCTTTTATTCTTAGTACTTTTGCCCTTTTTAACTGGCTACAGTTGTCGCAGTGTAAATGGTTCGCTGTAGGTAGGTTAGATTTAAGAACCACTGTCAGTTATGTTGTTTTGGATAAGAAAAGAAAAAACCTTTCAGGTTTAATTTCTTATCCCCTGGTTGATATTTTTCTACATTCCTCATTCGCATTAACTTTATAAATTCAGACAACCACGACAGGAATTTCGCAAATGAATGTCCGTAGCCTCTGCCGCCAATTGGAAGGAAGGCTTATTAAGGGAATATTTCTCAAAACTTCTAGTTCAATATGTTTATAAAGGCAAAACAAATGATGCAATATAAATTGTTTAATAGTTAAGCATGTAGAACAGATATTAAACAACAAAAGTAAAAAATGTAAATATCCCATACATTGCTATATTGAGGTGAGTGAACTCCACAGTATCAACATTATTATCAGTAAATATTCCGATTTAAAAGCAATTTTGATTGCCTTAATGCACAATGAAAATTAATACAGTAATTTACATTGAATTTGAAGCAATAACACCGTATTGCTGAATTTAATAATCAACTGTTAGAAACAATTGGATTGCAGAATTTATAATCAAGTATTCTTTGTGTTAGGTGTGTCAAAGAATACAATAGAACCATTTATTTCATATTGTCGATGTCACAACATTACAAGGGATAATAGCTCTTATTATTATGTCACAGTTGAGTCTATTATTATGACTTTAAGAAAATCAGACATTTAACTTGTTTTCAAACATTTTTGTAAATTTCTACAACATGCAAATATGTTGTTCTAAGGCTAGAAGAAATGTCAAGTCATACAGTAGTGTATTCCATTTTTAGCCGACTTCAAAAAAGGGGGAGGTTCCCAATTCAACTCCATGTTTTCTTTTTTTGTATGTTAGTTACGCAATAATTTGTGAACCGATTTCGATTTTTTTTTTGTTAGAAAGAGAGAGAAAAAAGAGTCCACCTCTAAGGGTGACAAACTAGGCGATAAATGACTTTTAAGGTTAGTTTTTTAATATACCAGTATGTGAATTGTACATTTCGTTGGCTTCTTGCAATAAGCCGATGATTTGTATTTAGCATCTGTACTGTAACAGCACAAAATATGTTGCATCAATATATTTCATAACATGCCTACTCAGAATCAAGGGCTTTTGAAGTAAATTCAGTATTGTACAAAATTGGTTTTCTTTCATGTCACATTTGTTTCCAGGTAACATGGGGCTTGCTGACCATCCATGGTTTAGAGTACTCACATTACTGATTAACGTGTTTACACTTTGTACAAATTTTTAACAATGACGAAAAACAATTTTATTTAGAAATTGAATTTCTTTAAAGAGAAAATTTTTAATTTTTGTGAAATGAAAATTTTAGTTTCTGTAAAGGTGCTTCCCCAAAGGTTATTAATATAATGACTACAGAAAATATTTTGTATGATAACATAATATTAAAGTTATTGTATAATTTAAAAAAATATTATTAAAAATAATATGTAAAGTTTATGTAACATTAACAGGGTATCTACTACCTACATTTCCTTGATTTTTTTTCCATGACCTTATGCATAGTGTTGCAATTAAAGTTTATGTTACTACTTCATTATTCATATATTTTTAAAAGGTATTATGAGTAGTGCAAATTGATGGTAGATCATTTCCAAATTTCCGATTAACAGAACGTGTAAATGTCTAAAATAAAACTTGCATTTACGGCACCAGACACACATAAATTAATGCTAATTTAATTAAAATCGATGTAGTTCTTGATTTCATTTGATCGCACCAAAATAAGACAAAAAATATATTTAAAATATTATTAAAAATTAAAGAATACTTACCAAAACGCTGTACGCAACTGGACAATGCTAGAAAACAGCTCGGACCATGGCAAGACCCGCGTAAAAACACTTAACACTGAGTAAAAACAAAAGAAAGGCTGTTAATTAGAAAAAAACAAGACAAAATTTCTAAGGCACTTCAGTTCTTTCGTTTATTTACTTTGGAAGAACTACAGACTACTATAATATGCCTATTAAAACGCCAGGCTTATCGATCTAACCAGTTGTCAGGTAAATATCCAATGTATGTTATTAATATTACAGGCAAAAAGAACATAAAATTATTTCAAGAAATTAACTGATTGCAGTAGCTAAACAAGAATGGACATCGCTCTCGGATTGCTCGGTTTCGATTGGATAATGAATTGAATGAATGATGTTAACCTACAATACAGTGTTACTATTTGTTTAATTTTGATTTTATACATTGTGAAACAATTTAACGGAATAATATCCTTATGAACGATGATTTGTATTAGTGTTGCTTTGCTTTTTGATGGTACACTTTATTTTATCATAACCACTGTAAAATTATGTACGAAATGTACTTCATAGTTATAATTACTAAACTGATTATCCCTGATTAAGCTAGCAACATTTAAATCAGTCATTCTTACTTCCTGCAAAGTAGTGCAAAGTTATAAGTTGTGGCGTTTAGATACGACAAATTTAATATTAATTCGAAATGGCAATGACTTATCGATTTATGCTCTGGTATTTAATAAACTATATCAAATAATTATTTACTCATATTTAGTGATAAAAACACCGTTTGCAACATCGCGTTCGTAAAACTATCCGCTATAATAATACACGTTTACACAGCAAAATAGTGCCACAGAAGGTGTATTATCAAAACGCAGGAATTTAAACACCAACCACCAACCGACTGTTCTTGACAACTGATTGTTTCATTTCTATGGGTTGTTTTCGAAAATATTTTTCTGTGAAACAGTTGCACAATGGAAAACCTGTATTTGTTTTTAATGGAGGACAGAATAAAAACCTTCAAGAATTGGCCGTTTAGTGATAAGGAGAAGTGCAACGTCAAAAACATGGCGGAAGCTGGGTTTTATTCGGTTGCTACAGGTGATGAGGACGCTGATGCTGCAAAATGTTTTTTGTGTGGAAAAGAGCTTGATGGGTGGGAAGCGAACGATGATCCGTGGGCTGAACATAAGAGCCATGCTTCTCAGTGTGCTTTCGTGCAGTTGGGGAAGAAAGAGAACGATTTATTAGTACGTACATTATTATTCCTATCAAGTTTCAAAATTTGCAAAGAGCTTTACGAACTTGTTAAATTCTCTTGTTAGTTCTATATTCTAATAATAAGAGCAGAATCTCCTTCATGCAAATTTTGTAACAAACTTATAGATATGCTACATTTTGATGGAATGTGGCTATAAGAAGCTAATTTCAATTAAGGAATATTTAGCAGGTTGGGAAGTTAAATGTTGTGTTAGGTGACCCGCTGGAGAAGAGGGCTAAAACTCCGTACTCATATATGAGGTCTTGCCTCTCTCTACGAGGCGATACGAGATGAATAACCCATAGGGATTGACATCACAAGGCCGACATTGATCCTAAATGTTACAGGCCTTATTAAAAATAAGATTAAATAATCTCAGTCCAGAATACTAAAGAAACCGACCTCAATAGTCATTCATCCCCTAGTTTGCCACACTTAGGGGCGGAATATTTTCTTCAAATTTAAATGGGACCACTACTGAGGTGCCCTCTTTCTAACAAAAACCGAATCATCAAAATCGGTTCACAAATGCTGGAGTTATAGCGTAACATACAAACAAACAAAAAAAACCAGTCGAATTGAAAACTTCCTCTTTTTGTCAGTCAGTTAAAAAGTTGTTAATTTTAAATACCTTAATTTTAATTCACCAAAGAACATTCCAATTTATGCGGCATAGGGTATGCTAAATATTTTTTTAACTTTTTATCTATTTATTAACAAGCAGCTTTTGCTGATACATCAACATCACAGAATGTTATAATATTGATAATTTTTCTTTCATTTTAAGCACTGATTTGCTCTTTTGTAGCATTGTCAAGCCTGTTTATTAATCATATTCATTATCTTCCAAGATAGCCAGAACACTAGCTATGAGTAGCATGTTCCAGTTTTATACCACTGTTGCAGAGGAAGTTTCATTTTGCTTATAGTGCCTTTTTTAGGATTTCACGAACATCAAGTATTTTGTAAAAATAATATGTAAAAATTATGGTCACCGATGTCAAGTTTTTGTTGCTAAAAAAGTTACATGCAATACTATGATTTATGTTAGTAGGAGTACAAAATTATTTCTGTTGATTACCACTAGACAAATGATTTTTTTCTATTTAAGACTTTATTTATTTTTATTAGCTCCGCACTAGGGCGTCGCGGGATATCATGGTGACAGTCATAGACAACCACAAATTAGACTCAAACTCTCAAGAGAAATAAATGTAGGCCATGCAAATATTTCTCCTGGTCTGGGAATCGAACCCGGGACTTCTGCGTGGCAGACCAGTATGGTAACCGTTCGGCCACAGAGGCAGTTAAAAATATTATGAATGTCTTTTAGGTTATTACACATCAGGTTTTTAAAAATATTTAGCATTATAGTATATTTAGAGCGTTACTATACAAGTTAATAATTTATGTTCATTTTAGAGAATAATGCTTATAATGCGAAATGTGGTGTGGCGATGCACTAAGCACAATCTCTGTTTACATAATATACCTGCAGAGCTAAAAAGGCTGTATGAGCAGAATCATAATAAGATTAATTGACTATTCTGTTCTATGAAGGTTTCCATAGATAGATAGTCGTGCTGTGTTAGAAGCATTACACCTTTTCTACTTCTAAATACGAATATTAATATGTACTACTTCTACAGCAGACCTTCAATAAATGTGTGCTTTTATTATTCCAGCTGTCAGAGTTCCTGTCAGTCGTGCAACAGTACATGATAAATGAAGCATCGAAACGCCAGCCAGAGGCTGCAAAACAGCAGATTGATGAAAAATTCAAGGCCATTCGGAGAAGAATCATGGGCCTGAAATGAATTTAGTTTGTAGAAATACCGTGTTAAATTAATGTTTGTATGATTATTATGCTTAGGTTTACAATTTCATTGTGTATGTAGCTTGCTTCCATGTATAAATGAATTTCCACCTAATTGATAGTGGTAACCACCATCTAGAGTCATCTGCAATACTGAAGAATTGTCCTTAATATGCAAATAAGTTGCCGGTTGTTCGAAATAAGGGCAGTCCTTTAATCTGAACACGGCAAGCATTATAGTGTATGTCATTGATACGATGAGAAGTATGGGTAAAGTTTCGCATATAGAAAGAACCCCATAAAGAAGAGATGGTACACTTGACTTGATAATTGTGCAATCTAGCTCCTAACAATAACAGGCATGGTCCTTGTAACATCTCATCAATCAATCACATGAAATTAAATATGTATCGCCTTGAATACTACAATTTGTAATAAATTAGTAAATGGGGTGTATCAATTAATTAGTTTACTTTACAAACCCGTCTCTTTACAAGTATAAAGCTTTGCTTCACTTTACATTTACATAGGGCGCACTGTAAGTTTCCATTTACATAGGAAGTGGCCATTTACATAAACAATAATTAAAAAGTAATTACAACATTTGAAAATGGAAGTCTGGCTGTAGCATACAGTTTGTTTCATCTGACTGTCACTTGTTTTTACATTGTGTCGTCATTTTAGAAATTGGTTGTCTACATCACCATGGATTTAACCATGATTTAACTCGTGAAAATTTTCGTAGTATTTCGTATTTTCTACGACTAAGTGTAATGTAACAGCTCAGCGAAGCTTCGCTCGGCTTCAAACTGCTTTTAACAACGAAGTACCATGCAAGACGACTATTTATAGCTCGTTTGCAGAATTCAAACGCGATCGTGTGAATCTCAGTGACGAATTTTGTGATGGTCGCCCGTCCACAACTGTGAACAACAAAAACATCGATTCTGTGGGCCGTATGATCAAAACAGACAGGCATGTGACATACCGTGAGATTCGGGCATCTTTAGGCATAGGCATGAGTCAAATACAATCAATAAATACTACACAAACATTTGGGTGTGAAAAAACTGTGCTCTCGGTTGATCCCACACAATTTGACGATCTTTCGAGATGAGCCGAAACCAACCAAAGTGGCGCGCGTGCTTAGTGCCTCTAGGGGTCGTATTCTAGAACTCTACTCAATGCTCAAGTCAGGATTTGAGTATGGTTTAAAGCACTTGATATCATACTCAAGTCCCTGCCATTAGGGTCGTATTTCCAGTGCTTGTGTTGCCAGTGCAATCCTGACTTGAGCATTGAATAGAGTTCTAGAATACGACCCTAAGTGGATAACTGCTTCTTTTTTTAATAAAACGACACGTGGCTAACCGTTGTTTGGAGAATCGTTGTACCGAGTATAATGATTGGTACACGACCATTTGTTTGCCGGAAGTTATTGACAAACTCCGTAAAAATAACCGTAAACGCTTTATCATCTTGCACCACGATAATGCCAGTTCTCACACGACCAGACAGACAAATGAATTTTTGAAGACGAACAACGTTAACACTATGAGCCTTCCCGCATACAGTTCCGACCAGGCACCGATACGCGGGTCAACGATTTTCATCACCTGAAGAGGCTGTCGAAGAGTATGAAAAATATGTTTCAGAGATTGTCGCGGAGGAGTAGCATGTTTTCAAAATTGGTTCATTCGTATGAAAAATTGCATTAACGTTAACGAAGAATATTTTGAGAAAGAATAAATTAATTTCTGACCATATATAGTTTTTTTTTCTTATTGAAACTTATAGAGCGCCTCACGTATTAATCTTTTCATACAACCCGTCTCATTTTGAAGCAAGAAAGATTTGTCAGGATCGTGCGGAATAGTGGCTGATAGTCTGTCTACCCAAATGGGAGGCTCACCTCAAATTGCCGCAGCCATTCGGCGCGACGCTGCGTTGTATTAAATATAATTATATTATGCAACATAAATTTTATCTTCTACAAGATAAGGTTAAATTTCTTTGAAAAAGAAGCAGCATGCGGCGGCGGCGACGATACAGACCATGGCGTTGCGCTGAGCTGGACGGACTTTATAAACTGTAATATAATATAGAATATTCTCGACTAAATAAAGTGTCTAACATGAGAGTAAAGACCTACTGCGAGGCGCAGCGCGGTCCACCGCAGCCATCCTGTCTTCGGCAGCTTATGGTACGGGTAGTACAAAATGTTATATTACACCTTAATAAGGTATTTTCCTTGAAAGTAGCGCGAACTTTGGAAACAGCAATGCAATATAGAACTTTATACCTATTAAATAAAATTAATATCAGTCAGGGGAACATGTTAGATGATTAGGCCAGAACCAATTTATAAAATTTCATTTCCCAAATTGGTCCTACCAGGACACGAACCCTGGACCCAGAGCAATGGAATTGACTAGGGCAGGTATATACATTTAATTATCCAATTTCTAAGGAGGTCCATGTTTCTACTCCATGTACTATTAGCACAGTCGTCGCGTTACCACCTTAAAGGCTCTATTTGCATGCCAGCTGCAACTGTCAGTAGGTTATTGTATAAATAAAAAATTTAGTTAGATAAAATATGAAAAATGGCCAAACGAAACAGATGTACAAAAAATAAAAATTATATATTTTTGAAGTAAGTTACACGCACAATTTAGAGAAAAGAAATTCCTCTACTCTGTATTTATTGCATTTATTTATGAAGCATTGGCTAAAAATTACAATTAAGCTAACAAGTTAATTTTAAAACACAGTTGCCATAGTGCAAAACTTAGAAAAAATATATTATGATGGAAAAGTGGAAAAGGCAAACGTGAAGTAGTATGTACCTACATTATATAAAATTAAATGTTTTTTGATTCATAAATGTACTTCTTTATTTGCGATTGCAATGTGTGAAATAATTTTGTATGTTGGCCATTTTATACTAAAATCTTATTTGTTTAATAAAAAAATTGCAATAACTATTTATAAAAAAATAGGTTGCCATAGTTACCAGTTTTTGTTCATCACCTAGCGACCATCATTGAAAACACACAATGTCAACTTGAAGTAGACTGTTTTTTATAATAGAAAATATTTTAACGGATTTAAACTTTCCAAAGTTAAAAGACATCATGGGTGACGTTAAAAATCTTGAACCTTACGCTATTATAGGTTTTGATGGTAAGTAGTTACTGACCTATAGCAGATACTTGTTTTATTTATGTGATTAAGTATATTTATGTGATTTCTAAGTACATTAAAGAAGTTGAAGAAATGTTTAGGCATTTTGCAAACCGGCGAAAATGTATCTACACTTGCACGTGTGTTGAAATGAAAATTCTATCTTCACGAAAAAGTAGTAATTTATAAAAATCCATTAGCTTCTATAAGCAAATGTGACACATTTGCGTTAAGTGTTTCATATAAAAATTTAATTGAAATTTTTTTGCGTCTAGAAAAATTAGTTTAAGTTTAATTTCACGTTAATGTAGGTAAGTAACAATAACACTCTCCCTTAAGTAGTCAAATAAAATTCACGTCAAAACAGGTTCTGCGATCCGAGGTTTGAAGGTCCACCCTGACGGAGAACACATCATCTACCCTATGGGCAATAAAGTCTGCATCCAACACTGGAAGACCAAAAAAATGGTTTTCCTCAGCGGACACACAAATAGTATATCATGCGTGGCCATATCGCCCAAAGGGACCTATGTTGGGAGCGGACAGATTAATCACATTGGATTCAAAGCTATGACGAAGATTTGGGATTTTAAGAAGAAGTCTATGATTGGTACACATGAGCTGCATAAGGTTGGTGCAACCTTTAACTGTAAATGACATTATATTTTATTAAGAATTGTCGAAATCTGAGAACACTTGTTGCGTTTGCTATTAATATCGCATTGAAACCAACTGGTGTATCTGTAGCCGGGCTCCGTCAGTCGCTCAAGGTTACGCGGTAAGTCGTCGGGGAGTGCAAATCCGCGCATGCAGTATTGGTAAAATGCACAGTAGAGGGATTTAACGTTATTACTTTGTTATTTCAATGGCTACGAACAATAGATTCCCGAAATTCACGTTAATTTGGTTGCCACGACATTTACAAGGATTTGATTTGGCCACTAAATGACCGAAATGGAAATTTATAATCAAATGCTAGTTACGCGTAATTGCACTGTCCCCGACGAAGTGCTTACTAATGAGTGTACCGATTTCGGCACAAGTCCTAGTAGCGAGGGAGAGTTGCACGTAGTGAGCATGTGGTGCATTAGTCAGAATTAGTAGGCTATTATAGCGTAAGTATTTTCGATTTTGTATGAGAGTGACGTATCTGTTACATAGTAACTATTAAGTAATCTGTGTCTGTAGCTAGACATGCGCCGATCAAGGTGGTCGGCGGCGGCGGCGTCTGATGATTATCCGATCCGGTGGTTCATTGTTTGTGTTTAAAAAAACACTA